TGCCAGGGGAGCGCGCTACTGCTTGAGCCACATCCCCAGCCCCCTAAGGGGGCTTTTGATTATTACTATTATTTAAAGAATTTTTTTAGTTGTCAATGGACTTTATTTTATTTTTTAATATGTGGTCCTAAGAATTGAACCCAGTGCCTTACACATTCGCGGCAAGCACTCTACCACTGAGCCACAAACCCAGCCTTTGATTTTTATTATTTTTAAAATATTTATTTATTTTAATACTAGGGATTGAACCCTGAGGCACTTTACCACTGAGCTACATCCCAACTCTTTTTAATGTTTTTCAAATTTTGAGACAGAGTCTCACCAAGTTACTGAGAGGTCTCCCTGTGTTGCTGGGGCTGGTCTTAAACTTGTGGTCCTCCTGTCTCAGGCTCCAGTGTCGCTGGGATTACAAGTTTGTGCCACTCCCTGGGGAGTCCTTGTCCCCATTGCCAAACCAATAATGATAAAATGTTTTTTGAGAAAAATTATAAAGTTGTTTTATTGCTTTGCTACCAAAGGAGACACACAGGGACTTCCATCCCAGAGGCTGTGATTCTGCCCATCAAGGGGAGCAGAGGGCTTTTAGATGGGTGATTCAAAGGCTACATTTCACATGTTCTGACTGGAGTTGTTAATTTGGGAGATAAGTTATTTCTGAGATCTTCTGTTGCCACCCCCAAAGTTTGAATTACTTTTCCTTGGCTCAAAGACAGGTAACTCTGCCTAGGATTGAGAAGAAAGATAATTCTGTTTCTTCAGAGATCAGAAAGGGGAAAAGATTAGAGAGGAGGAAGGAGAGAGGAAAAGAAACAAATCCTTTCAAAAATAAGTTGAGGGGATTCCACCTTTTGGGTCCCCTTCTTCCTCCAGGAGAAGTCTTTTCTGCTGTCCTTTAATAAACTTCTAATTTCTACTCTGACCTTGCCTCGGCGTGCTTCTTTGGTGTTATTCTTCAACATCGGGAAAGCAAGGACTCGTCACGGGTCAACAGCGGTAACATATTGGAGGTCCCAGACCGAGATTCTACACCGAGACCATCCATCACTCAAATGGCCCTCCAGACTATTACTTCTCAATCAGACTTCTATCATGGACCACTCAATAGACCCGATTTTTAAAGGGGGACTCCAAACTGCTTGCCCCACATCGTCCCTTTTCAGCCTGAAGAAGCCAGAAAGATCCTCTTCGCCCCTCCTTCCTTACAGCAGTAAGGAGTTCCCAACTTAGAGGGGGGAATGAAGCCAGATTTAAAGTTAGGTAGTCAGTGTAGTTAGGTAAATCAGGTCTAATATCGAGTGAAATCTAAAATGGAGGCCGTGCGGAGAATGACTCAGGGAAAACACAGGACAACTCATGGAATGTTAATGAAGTCCCAAAAGGCCCTAGGCCAAAGTCCACCTCAAAGAAATGTTAATGAACAGCCCCCAGCAAAAAGGTGCTGACTCAGAAGATCTTCCTGACCAGATTACTTCTTTGGCCCACCTGTGTCCCACCCCTCAGGCCTTCCAACCTACATTCCATCACCAAAACTATAAAAAGGGGAAACAACCGCACTTCCACGGATTCCACCTTTTGGGTCCCCTTCTTCCTCCAGGAGAAGTCTTTTCTGCTGTCCTTTAATAAACTTCTAATTTCTACTCTGAAAAAAAAAAAAAAAGTTGAGGGGGCTGGGGATATAGCTCAGTTGGTAGAGTGCTTGCCTCACATGTACAAAGCCCTGGGTTCAATCCCTAGCAAAATAAATAAATAAAAATAAATAAATGCATTAAGTACAATCTTTTTTTTTTCTCATGTGGAAGTCACAATCTTCTTTAAAGCTAAGTAATATTCCCGTGTGTGTGTGTCTAAAATTAAAAAAAATTAATTAATTAATTAGTCTGTTGAAGGGCACCTAGGTTGGTTCCATAGTTTAGCTATTGTGAGTTGAGCTGCTATAAACATTGCTGTGGCTGCATCACTATAGTATCCTTTGGGTATAAAATGAGAAGTGGGATAGCTGGGCCAAATGGTGGTTCCATTTCAAATTTTTTGAGGAATCTCCATACTGCTTTCCATAGTGGTTGCACCAATTTGCATTCCCACCAGCAATGTATGAGTGTATCCCACATCCTCACCAACATTTATTGTTGTTTGTGTTCTTTTTTTTTTTTTTTTTTTTTCGATCCTGGGTATTGAACTCAGGGGCACTTGACCACTGAGCCACATCCCCAGCCCTATTTTGTATTTTATTTAGAGACAGGATCTCACTGAGTTGGTTAGTTCCTCACCTTTGTTGAGGCTGGCTTTGAACTTGTGATCCTCTTGCCTCAGCCTCCTGAGCTGCTGGGCTTACAGGCATACCACCACACCACATCTGGCTGTTGTTTGTATTCTTTTATTCTTTTTTTTTTTTTTTTTGTGGTGCTGGGGATGGAACCCAGGGCCTCATGAATGCAAGTTAAGCATTCTACCAACTGAACTATATCCCCAGCTGTGTATCCTGTATCCTTTTATTTTTTAATTGATATTATTTTTTTTCAAATACACAACAGCAGAATGCATTACAATTCTTATTACACATATAGAGCACAATTTTTCATATCTTTGTATATAAAGTATGTTCACGCCAATTCATGTCTTTATACATGTACTTTGGTTTTTTTTTCCCCATTATAATTCTTATTACACATATATACCACAATTTTTCATATCTCTGTATGTAAAGTATGTTGACACCCAATTTGTGTCTTCATACATGTACTTTGGATAATAATGTCCATCACATTCCACCATCCTTGCTAATCCCTTTCCCCTCCCCCACCCCCAGCCCTTGATAATTGCCATTCTGACAGGGGTGAGATAAAATCTTAATGTAATTATGATTTGCATTTCTCTAATTCCTAAAGATTAGAAAAATCTTTTTATTATTATTATTATTTACTTGTTGATGGACCTTTATTTTACTTATTTGTATATGGTGCTGAGAATTGAACCCAGTGCCTAGTACATGCCAGGCAAGCACTCTTTCACTGAGCTACAACCCCAGACCTAGGAAAATCTTTTGAACATTTTTTCCATATATTTGTTGATCAATTGCATTTCTTCTTCTGTTGAAGTGTCTGTTCAGTTCTTTAGTCCATTTTTTTGGGGGAGGGGTGTACCAGGGATTGAACTCAAGGGCACTCAATCACTGAGGCACATTCCTAGCCCTGTTTTGTATTTTATTAGAGACAGGGTCTTACTGAGTTGCTTAGCGTCTCGATTTTGCTGAAGCTGGCTTTGAACTTGAGATCCTCCTGTCTCAACCTCCAGAGCCACTGGGATTATAAGTGTGAGCCACCCCACCCAGCCTAGCCCACTTATTGACTGGGTTGTTTTTTGGTGTTTGCTGATAAATGGATGTAGCTGGAGAATATCATGCTAAGTGAAATAAGCCAGTCCCCCAAACCAAAGGCTGAGTGTTTTGTCTGATAGCAGATGCTAATTCACAATAAGGGGTGGGGGGCTAGGGAAGAAAGACTTACTTCAGATTAGGTAGAGGGGAGTGAGGAGAGGGGAGGGGGACTGGGGATAGGAAGGATAGTAGAATGAATCAGACATTATTACCCTATATACATATATGACTAATAACGAGTGGGGTTCTACATCATGTATAACCAGAAAAATGAGAAATTATACTCCATTATATATGGTTAGCAAGGTGCATTCTACTGTCATGTATAATTAATTTAAAAAAATAAGTCACCGTGACAGAGCATCAAGGGCTATATTCAAAGTATGAAGTGGATGACTGTTACAAACTAGCTTGTTTTAATGACTAGGGTCCCAAAGAAAGAATAACCTGTTTAGCTTTAGAGCTACTTCAGGGTGTGTGTGTGTGTGTGTGTGTGTGTGTGTGTGTGTCTGTCCCTTGCTGCCTGCGCAAATGTAGCATGGGCACATTGGAATCTTAGTGGAGCTTATGGAGGGCAGCGACTGAAATTCAATGAGGAGCTCTGAGAAAGCAGAGTTGGAATAGTAAGCGAAGAGATACTTGGAGAGAATGAGAAGCTGAAGATTGATTCTGGAAAGGGTGCATTTTACGGAAGTTAGAAAGCATCTCAATGGGTGGTTATAACTCAATATGGGCCAAAGAATGGGAAAGCTTTTTAAGGTAGTGTTTTTTTTTTTTGTTTTTTTTTTTTGCGGGGGGGCGGGGGGGGGAGAAGGTAACTGGAGGTAACACAGGGGTACTTGGCCCTTGAGCCACATCCCCAGCCCTGTTTTGAATTTTATTTAGAGACAGGGTCTCACTGAGTTTTTTAGCACTTGGCTTTTGCTGAGGTTGGCTTTCAACTTGTGATCCTCCTGTCTCAGCCTCCCAAGCCACTGAAATTACAGGTATGTGCGGAGTCTGGGCAGGTAGTGGGTTTTGACAGGTCCCTGAATAGCCACCCTTTCCATCTTCCGCCCTGAAAAGCAAAGCAGGCCTGGCAGTTGCCTGTAATTCCAGTGACATGAGAGACTGAAATAGGATAATCACATGTTTGAATCCAGTTTTAGCAATTTGGTAAGACCCAAGGCAACTTAGTGAGACACTGTCTCAAAATTAAAAATATAAAAGGTTGGGGATGTGGTTCAATGGTTAAGCGACCCTGGATTCAATCCCCAGTATAAAAACAAACACTGCAAATGGGGTAGTAGAAGCCAGGCACAGTGGCGCAGGCCTTTAATCCCAGGAGCTCCAGAGGCTGAGGCAGGAAGATTGTGAGTTGAAAGCAAAAGCGAGGTGCTAAGCAACTCAGTGAGGCCCTGTCTCTAGTAAAATACAAACAGGGCTGGGGATGTGGCTCAGTAATTGAGTGCCCCTGAGTTCAATCCCCAATACCCCCAAATAAGAAAAAAAAATAGGGGAGTAGAGAGGTGGGGCAAGGCTCGCTGGGGAGACCAGCCAAGAGATCGCGGTCTCCCTCAGGCCCCGCCCCACTCCGGACTCCTTGGGGAGTGGCCGAGGCTCCGCCCCTGGGTTACGCCATCAGCGGGCGCCGCACCTGGAATCATTCGGCCCCGCCAGCTCGGCGGTCGGCCTCCTGTCACTGCAGGCACCAGCCATGGTTCTGTTCCGTGGTTTGTAAGTTGGCAACCCACGTCCCCGCGGTGACTGTGGTCCTGATGGCTGCGGCGGCGGCCCTGGCAGCTGCCGAAACCCCTCCCGCCATGCCGCAGGCGGCAGGGGCCGGAGGGCCTACAGCCCGTCGCGACTTCTACTGGCTGCGCTCCTTCTTGGCGGGAGGTGAGTGTCGGCCCCGAAGTCTTCTGGCTGCTTTCCTCCAGCTAAAATCGCTGGCAGATCGGGTGCTAGCGGCCTGTATGATATTCCCTACTCTGTTTCAGTACCCTGCCCGATGTTTACCCATACCTGCCTGTAATCTCATTCTAATAATCCTTGACTTGTGCCAGCCAGGTTCAAGGGAGTGGGACCTTGGGCTCTTGGGAAGAGGCTGGAGAAGTGGAAGGACTGAGTCAAGCTGATATTATCCAGAGTTGGGTAGCCAGGAAAAGAGGGAGATCCTTTACAGGAAACATGCTGGGCACTCCTTTCTTTTGAAAAGACTGGGTAACTGAGTGTGCAATTAGGTTTTGCTGTTTGCTTAAAGGAAAATAAATATTGGAGGTCAGCTTTTTAAAGATGACTGAGAAATTGTGTAAAATTAGCAAACTGTGTCAAAACTACTTGACAAGCCCTACTATTGATCTGACCACGAGACCAGAACATTCACATTGTCTCAAAGAAATTTCCTCTGCCTTATCATAAAGAAGTGTTTTAATCTCTTCCCTCATGGTGTAATTGCTTGTCTGGGTTATCATCACTTAGTTATTTGACAGAGAATTTTAAAATTCCACATTATGAAGACTTGTTGAAATATATTATCTGTATTCTGCAGCAGTGACAACAATTAGTTTGTCCTCCTGATAAAAAGGGCATTCATTTATTCATACTGGGAATATTTGAGTGCCAGGTATGTGCCTACTTTTTGCTTAGAATACATCAAAGAACACAAGAAAGGGGCTGGGGTTGTGACTCAGCGGTAGAAAGCTCCCCTAGCGCATGTGAGGCCCTGGGTTTCTCCTCAGCATTACATAAAAATAAAAGAAGGTATTGTGTCCAACGACAACTAAAAAATAAATATTTTAAAAAAGGGAGGGGAGGGGAGGGGGGATAGTAGAGGATAGGAAAGGCAGCAGAATACAACAGACACTAGTATGGCAATATGTAAATTAATGGATGTGTAACTGATGTGATTCTGCAATCTGTATATGGGGTAAAAATGGGAGCTCATAACCCACTTGAATCAAATTGTGAAATATCATATATCAAGAACTATGTAATGTTTTGAACAGCCAACAATAAAAAATTAAAAAAAAAAAAAGGAACAAAAGAAATATCTATACCTTCCTGGAGTTTATGTTGGTTATGGAGTTGTAAGGTGAAAGAATAAACAGAATGAAAATATAGTATGTTAGAAGGTGATGAATGCAATGGGAAGAAGTAGAAAGAAGACAGGGAAGGCAGTGGAGTGGACAGTATTAAAGATGATAGCTGTGGTGTCTCATTGAGAGATTGAAACTTGAATCTTTTTTTTCTTTAATTTTTTTTAAGAGAGAGAGAGAGAGGAGAGAGAGAATTTCAATATTTATTTTTCAGTTTTTGGCAGACACAACATCTTTGTTGGTATGTGGTGCTGAGGGTTGAACCCAGGCCGCCGCACGCATGCCAGGCGAGCCCGCTACCCCTTGAGCCACATCCCCAGCCCTGAAACTTGAATCTTGAGCGAACTTTTTTTTTTTTTGTACTAGATGTACTAGATATTGAACCCAGGAGTGCTTTACCACTGAGCTACATCCCCACCCTTTTAATTTTCTTATTTTGAGACAGAAGCTTGCTAAATTGCTGAGGCTGGCCTTGAACTTGTATCCTTCTGCCTCAGTCTCCTGAGTCACTGGGATTACAAATGTGTGCAACAATGCCTGGCAGAGAAGGCAAAGGCTTTAAAGCGAGAAAATCTAGTCTGCTGCAAGACTTTTGGCTGAAGACAAGTGGTGTTGATTAGGGAAGGAAGTTAGGTAAAGAGAGCAGGGAGAAGAAAATGAAGGGATCTTCCAAATCATAAAGATTCTGATTTTTACTCGGAGTGAAATGGGGAAATATTACAGATTTTTACGTGTATCTATGTGTGCTGGTGCTTGAACCCAGGGGCTCTTGAGCACTGAGCCACACCCCCAACCTTTTTTGTTTTATTTTTAGACAGGGGATCCCTAAGTTGCTGAGGCTGGCTTTGAATTGCCATCCTCCTATCTCAGCCTCCCAGGTCACTGGGATTACAGGTGTGGATCACTGCACCTGGCAATATTACAGATATTGAGCACAAAAGTGTCAGGCTATGACCTGGATGCTCTGTTGAGAAAAACTGTAAGGTGCACCATAGAAGCAAAGAGACCAGTTTGGGAGTTATTGCAGTAATTTCAATGATAGATGATAGTGGCTTGGATCAGCATAGTAGCTGTTATATATATATAACAAATAGGATTTTCTGACTGATTAGAGGTGAGGTGAGGGAAAGTCAAAGATGATTTGTTTTGGCCTGAGCAACTGCAAGGAGGTAGCTGTCATTGACTGAAGGCTATCATTGGAGCAATTTTTGTGGTGGTTTTTGGAAAGAGATCAGAAGTTGCTTTGAACATGTTGTATTTTATAATGAGGACTGGGTGTTGAACTAAATTCTTGGGACATGTAGATTAGAATAGCAAGCAGGAATCATGTACTGCTGGTAGTACTATAGATTGGTAAAACCACTCTGAAGCACTGGTTAAGCAGTTATTTATGAAGCTGAATATTTGCATGCTATATATCTAATGGTTCCTAAGCATATACCAATATATAGACTGTATTTTTGTTTGTAGTTGCCATATTCATAATAGCCCAAAACTAGAAGCAACCCCAATTTCTGTCAAAGTTAGGACATGTAACTAAAATATGGTATACTAATAAATGTGTCACTGAAAATTAATGAATTACCGCCACACTTAACAATATGGAAGAATCTCACAAACATAATATTGAACAGTAGAAGCCAGACAGTAGACAATGCATATACTGTGTCATTTTGTTTGTATAAAGGTCAAATATGATCAAAATTAAATCTATGTTGTTAAAATCAGAAGAGTAGTTGATTATCTCTGAGGAGGGACAGATAGTATTTTGGGGAGCATTGGAAAAAGACTTTTGGGGGCTTAGTAGTATCCCATTTCTTTTTTTTTTTTTTTGTGTGTGTGTGTATGTGTTATTTTTTATTTTATTTATTTTTTTACGTGGTCCTGAAGATCGAACCCAGTGCCTCACATGTGCTAGGCAAGCACTCTGCCACTAAGCTATAACCCCAGCCCAAGTATCCTATTTCTTGATCTTAACATGATTTCATTCACTTTGCACTAATTTGTTAGGTGGCAAGCTTATGATTTTTGTACTTTTATGTTTGTATCTTATACTTTACTACAGAACAATTTAATGAAAGAGGAAAGATTGGAAATAGCAAGTATAGGAAATACTACAAAGGAATCTTGATTAAGCCAGATGGTTTTTAAGCCAGATGGTTTTTAGAAGTTTCTATAGTATTTTATTTTATTTTTTGAACCCAGGGTACTGAACCACTGTGCTACATCCCTAGTCATTTTATTTTATTTTATTTGAGAGAGGGGGGAGAGAGAGAGAGAGAGAGAGAGAGAGAGAGAGAGAGAGAGAGAGAGAGAGAGAGAGAATTTTTTTTAATATTTATTTTTTAGTTTTCGGCGGACACAACATCTTTGTATGTGGTGCTGAGGATTGAACCGGGGCCGCACGCATGCCAGGCGAGCACCCTACCGCTTGAGCCACATTCCCAGCCCTTATTTTTTATTTTGAAACAGGGTCTCAATAAGTTTCCCAGGTTGGCCTTGAATTTGTGATCTTCCTGCCTCAGCCTCCTGAGTTTCTGTGATTATAGGCATGTGCCACCATGTCTGATTCCATAGGATTTTTGCCTTTTTTTTAAAGTAGGCTTACTGAAGTATACTTTATATACAGTAAAATTCACTCTTTTGAGGTACATAGTTAAATTCATCTTGCCAAAAATGTATAAAGTCCACCACAGTCAAGATATAGAATAGTTTCATCACCCCAAAATAGTTCCACTTCCCTTGTGTCATTCTCCTCCTGTCATCCTCTGCTCCTGACAAGCACAGAGCTATTTTCTGAGGCAAAAGGATTGAAACTCTAAGGCCAGCCTGGGCAATTAAGGGAGAGCTTGTCTCAAAAAAAAAAAAATTGGGGGTTAGGGATATAACTTGGAGGTAGACCATTGTTTAGCATGCATGAAGCCCTGGTTCAATCTTCAGTACCACCTAAATGGAATATCTGGCTTTCTTCGCTTAGCAAAATGTTTTGAAAATTTACCCATGTTGTATGTATCAGAAGTTTGTTCCTTTTTTTTTTTTTTTCCTTCTCTCTCACTGCTGTGGATCAAATCCAGGGCCTCACATGCTAGGCAAGAACTCTACCACTGAGTTATACTTCTAGCCCTTGTTTTCCTCATATCTGTCTATAATGGGGATCAAACCCTGGGTACTTTACTACTAAGCAATATCCCCAGCCATTTGGAATTTTAAAACATTAAATATTTTTATTTTTATTTATGTTTTTGTTTTTGCAGTACTGAGTATTGAACCCGGGGAAACCATATCTACCACTGGCTATATCTCTGGCCCTTTTTATTTTTTATTTTAAGTAAGGTCTTGGTAAGTTTCCCAGACTGGCCTTGAACTTGCAATCTTCTTGCCTCAGCCTCTCTAATAGCTGGGATTACAGGTGTGTACCACCATGCTGCTGTTCCTTTTTTTTTTTTTTTTAATAGTTGTAAATGGATAGAATGCCTTTATTTTATTTGTTTATTTTTATGTGGTACTAAGGACCAAACCCAGTGCCTCACACATGCTAGGCAAATGCTCTGCCACTACAGCCCCAGCCCCACTGCTGTTCCTTTTTACTAATGAATAATATTTTGTTGTATGGATATACTAAAGTTTCTTTCTTTCTTTTTTCTTCCTTTCTTTTTTGAAATGTTTTTTTCTTACATAGCCCAGGCTGGTCTCAAAAATTCCTGGGTTCAAGTGATCCTCCCACCTCAGCCTCCCAAGTAGCTGGAACTAGACATGTGTGCCACTGTGCGTAGCCACATCTGTTGATGAAAATTTGGTTTCTTGGGGCTGGGGATGTGGCTCAAGTGGCAGCGCGCTCGCCTGGCATGCGCGTGGCCCGGGTTCAATCCTCAGCACCACATACAAACAAAGATGTTGTGTCCGCCGAAAACTAAAAAATAAATATTTTAAAAAAAAAATTTGATTTCTTTCTGGTTTTCCACTATCTGACTTAAGAGACTATGAAAAGAAGTCTTTTATGTGAGTTTCATCCCCTGGATGAAATCCTTTGGTTTCTTTATCCTTGGGCAAATTTCTAGGAAGAGACTCCTTGCTGTTTTGTTTTTTTTTTTTTTGGGAGCTGGGGATTGTGCATGGGAGGCAAGGACTCTACTAACTGAGCTATGATCCCCAGCCCTGACTCCTTGGCTTTAAGAGTATCATATAGGCTGGGGTTGTGGTTCAGTGGTAGAGTACTTGCCTTGAATGTGTGAGGCACTGGGTTTGATTCTCAGCACCACATATAAAGGCCCATCAACAACTAAAATAATTAAATAAATAAAATTTAAAAAAAAAGACATCTTCCACAGTTACTTAAAAAAAAAGAATATCATGTTTAACTTTTTAAAATATACATTTCACAATTTATAAAAAGATGACAATAAACATATTTATATCCTTTTACTCTTTGATAGTATGAAAAATTACAATCATCTTCACTCAAGTTGGAATTAAAAAAAAAAAAAAAAAAGGAAGCCAGGAGTGGTGGCACATCTCAGCTACTCAGGACCAGGAGTTTAAGGCAGCTGCTCCTTGGCCAGGCTGGCTCCAGCTAGAGACTTCTGTGCTTTTTGGCTGGTCCAGTAGAGGAAAGGGCTCCAGAAGATTTATGAACCTTGGGAACCAGCCCTTAACTTTATTTTTTTAATTTATAATTTTTGCAGTGCTGGGGATTGAACTCGGTAAGTGCTCTACCAATAAGCTACATCCTCTTGCTTTACTTAATTTAATAAGAAATTGCCAATTCTGAACACTGTTGTGTACACTTGTAATCACAGCAGTTCCTGAGGCTGAGACAGGATGATTGCAAGTTTGAGGCCAGCCTCAGCAGTTAGCAAGGCCCTAAGCAATATAATGAGACCCTGCCTCAAAAATAAAAAGGGCTAGGGATGTAGCTCATTGGTAAAGTACCCCTGTTTTAACTCCCATAAATTATTTGTTTATTTATTTTTTAAACCAATAAATAAATAATAATCCCAGTTACTTGGGAGGCTAAGACATGAGGATGACAAGTTCAAGGCCAATTGTGGCAGCTTAAAGAGACCCTATCTCAGGAAAACACACACACACACACACACGTAAGGGGCTGGGGATGTAGTTCAGTGGTAGAGTGTTCATGAGTTCAATCCCCAGTACCAAAAACAAAACAAAACAAAACAAAAAACCCCTGCTAAGTTATTTCCCAAAGCATCTGTTTCATTTTTTTTTTTTTTTCTGTTTCATTTTTTATCCCCACTGCCTTGTCAGTACTTGTTGGTATTGTTAGGGTGTCTATGTATGTTTTTCATTTTTACAAGTGTTTAGTGTTATCTAATTGTGATTTTAATTCTTATTTTCTTGAAGAAAATGATGCTGAGCATCTTTTCATTTTATTGCCCATCTGTGTTTCTTTTGTTAAGTGCTGGTTCAAATTTTTGGAAGGCATGACTTTGAAGGTTATATAGGAGTTTCACATCCAGGTGATAGGAAGGAATACTGCTGGGCAAGTTATTTAACCTCTTGTACCTTGGTTTTCCCATCCTCAAAAGAGAATATAAGTCTACCTACCTTAAATAATTGTTCTAATGATTAAACTGGAATAGTAAAAACCTTGGCACAGTGCCCACAATTAAATTTCTTAGGCTGGTGCCTGGTACAAAGTAAATACTGAGTATTTGCTAACTATTATGGTTAGCAGTGCTTTGGGCAAATCTCTTTAGTTGTTCAATCTTCCTTTTCTTTCTTTCTTTTTTTTTTTTTTTGGTGCTTCTACCACTGAGCTACCTCTAGTCTAGTTGCTTTCTCTTAAAAGAAAGATAAAAGCAGCAGCTGGGCGCAGTGGTGCTTCTGTATTCTCAGCTGCTCTGGAGGTTGAAGCAGGAGGATATCAAGTTCAAGGCCAGCTTTGGCCATTTTGGGGGGGACTTTGTCTCAAAATGAAAATAAAAAGAGGAGGTCAGTGGTAGAGTACCCCTGGGTTCAATTTTCAGTACTGAAAAATAAATAAATAAATAGATAGATAAATGGGTGGTGGTGCTGGAAATATGGTATAGCACAGTGGTAGAGTGCTTCTTAGCTTGTACAAGTTCCTAGATTTGATCTCTTGCACTGCAAAATAAAGATGAAAGCTACTTGACCTAACTCAAATGGACTATTGGGTTGTTGATTAATTAAGCTTTGAAGCAGTATGAAATTAAGATACTATTAAAGGAAACTACTTATTGAATAAATTCTAAATAATTTCATTTGATGGTTAATCCATACATGACTGAGAAGATAATAATGTATCATAAAATAATATGAGGGCTGGGGATGTGGCTCAAGTGGTAGCGCGCTTGCCTGGTATGCGTGTGGCCCGGGTTCGATCCTCAGCACCACAAACAAACAAAGATGTTGTGTCTGCCGAAAACTGAAAAATAAATATTGAAATTCTCTCTCTCTCTCTCTCAAAATAAATAAATAAATAAATAAAATAATATGAAAGCAAATAAAACCAGATGCAAATGACTTTTAGTTTATCCTCAATTTTGGATAGCCTGCTATTTCTATTAGTTCAAATAAGAAAAAAAAAACTTTTTATAAATATAAACTTTTATATTACAGTACAAATATACATTTAATTTTTTGATATCTCAAAGGGTGGGCTTTAATATTAGTTACATGCTGAGCTGTCAAGTACAGTGGGTATGGACTTTATGATTTAATGTGCTAGACCCTGCATTGATCTTTGGTGATGCATCAGTGAAGGAGATCCACAAAATTCTTGTCCTCTCGACCCTTCTGAAATACAGATTTTTTAAATATATATTTTTTAGTTGTAGTTGAACACATTATCTTTATTCTATTTATTTATTTATATGTGGTGCTGAGGATTGAAACCAGGGCCTTGCACGTGCTAGGCAAGTGCTCTACCGCTGAGCCACAACCCCAGCCCCTGAAATACAGATTTGATGGTGAAGAATTTAATGTACTCATAAAGAAACCAAAAGCTTTTTTGCTCACCTTTTATTTATTTATTTATTTTTTAAAAGAGAATTTTAATTTTTTTTTTTTTTTTTTTTTTTTTTTTTAGTTTTTGGCAGACACAACATCTTTGTATGTGGTGCTGAGGATTGAACCCCGGCCGCACGCATGCCTGGCAAGCACGCTACCGCTTGAGCCACATCCCCAGCCCTTTTGCCCACCTTTTATAATAGTAACAATTCATCTTATTGAGTGCTTCTACAATACAGGAAAGTATTGTAGAAAAGTCTTTATGTGATCACTTTTGAAGCATTCCATGCTGATAGTCAGTAGCATTCTGATCAATGTTAAAGTCCATGTAAGCACTTTACTCTGTTTTCATCCACACATATGGCCAGTGGCACAAAGTAGGAACTAAATACAAAGTTGCTGAATGTATAAATGAATGACTGCTTTTATGGGTAAAAGTTGGTTGTTTTGGGGCTGGGGTTGTTGCCCGGTGGTAGAGCACTTGCCTGGCATGTGTGAGGCCCTGGGTTTGATCCTCAGCACCATTTATAAACAAATACATACATAAATAAAATAAAGGTCCATTGACAACTAAAAAAAATAACAAAAAAAAAAGTTGGTTGTTTTAATGTAAAATTCATCCAAGAAGAAGAGATGCTTATTAGAAACAGAACTTTGCAGTTGGGTAAATACCTTTAAGTGTTAGTCTCCACAGATACATTTTAGCAAAATTACAGGGTTCACCAGGCACTGGGGAGTGATTTATACTCCCCAAACTTATTTTTAAGTCTGACATTCTCAATTATTAAATTATAGGAAATGGGGGCCAATCATCTGCATATCCCTGCTACTGGGCAATTCTATCCATGGAGACCAAATTAAAGATCAGTGGGTTTGCTGGTTGGACAAATAAGGATTTCCCTGTAGAAAGAAATGATACGTAATTTATTTCTGACATTTTAAACAATTTTTAGGGATTGCTGGATGCTGTGCCAAAACAACAGTTGCTCCTTTGGATCGAGTAAAAGTTTTATTACAAGCTCACAATCACCATTACAAGCATTTAGGTAAGTTAATAGATTATAAAAATGAAAGTGAAATAAAAAAATTATCCATCTGCTTGCTGGTTTCCCATTGTAAATTATAATGGAAAGAGGTAGAAAAGGGAATTCAAATTTGGTGGTAAATATAAGTTATATGTCTCTTATTCATTTTAATCTGTTCATTTGTAATAGTGGTTATATGTATTTATCATTTTAGGGTACTGATATTTTCCAAGCCAAAATCTTGGAATCATGGAAGTAAGTACAATTTTTATTGGGATCAATGAGTTACATACTTCACAGATACACATAATAACTCGGCCTGATTTTTTAATTCAATGAGTGGAGATACAATTTTTAAATATAAAACTGAAATAATAACTCCTTTAAATACTTAAATAGGCCAGGATTAGGGGGGCCAGTGGTGCACAACTGTAATCCCAGCTACTCAGAAGATCTGAGGCTGCAGGATCACAAGTTCAAGGCAGTTTAGAGAGACCCTGTCTCAAAATAAAATAAAAAAGACTGAGGATGTAACTTAGTGGTAGAGCACTTTCCTAGCATGTGTAAAGCCCCGGATTTAATCCCCAGGACTATAGGGAGAAAACAATGAAACAAGCCTTCTAGAAATATTAGAATTTCTAGAACTTTTCCAATATTGCAAGTAGAATTTATTGTAATTAGTTTCAGATAAACTTGATTTCTTAAGAAAATATCAAGACTTTAGATATTCCTCACAAATGTAAAATTCGGTCTTCTTTTTTTGGGGCGGGGGGTGCGGGGAATACCAGGGATGAACCTGGGCACTAGGCCACTGAGCCACATCCCCAGCCCTATTTTGTATTTTATTTAGAGATAGGATTTCACTGATTTGCTAAGTACCTGCCTTTTGCTGAGGCTGATTTTGAACTCACAATCCTCTTGCCTCAATCTCTTGAGTTACTGGGGATTACAGGCATGGGTCACCTTGTGCTCAGCCCTTTTAAAATTTTGTGACAGTTTCCCTAAACTGCCCAGGCTGGCTTTATACTTTTTTTTTTTTTTTCCCCATTTTATTTTTGTGGTACTAAGGATTGAACCCAGGGCACTGAACTACATTTTCTGTCCTTTTTGTTTTATTTTGAAACAGGGTCTGGGTAAATTGCCCAAGCTGGCTTTGTATTTATGATCCTCTTGCTTCAGCCTCCTGAGATACTGGAATAACAGACTTATACTACCATATTTGGCCCAATATGCATTATTTTTGTTTTTATGTATTAGTTTTAAAAATGAAAAAGAAAGATGATAATGGAACTGAAAAATTTCTGTCACCTGGTAAGTGACATCGAAACATCATAAGTACGATGCATTACTCAAATGTTTATGGTAATGCTGCTGTAACTGCCTGTTGTAGAAAATCATAACATCTACAATTATGTACAGTGCATTAAAATTTGATTATTATAATAAAGGATCAAATTATTGGTTTTTGAAAAGCATTGTTATTGTTATTATTTGCAGTGCTAGGGATTGAATCCAGCTGAGCTCTGATACTGAGCTACGTCCTCATCCCCAGTCCCTGATATATATTTATTTTTGGTACTGGGGAATCTAGGGGTGCTTTACCATTGAACTATATCCCCAGCCTTTTTTGTTTATTAATTATTATTATTATTATTATTATTTGTGGTGCTGGGGATTGAAGTTAGGGGCCTGTGCATGTGAGGCAAGCATTCGACCAACTGAACTATATCCCAACCCTTTTTATTTATTATTTGTTTTTGGTACTGAGGATTGAACCCATGGGTGATGAGCCACATTTTCATTTTTTATTTTGAGACAGGGTCTTACTAAGTTGCTTAGGGTCTCAGTGATTTGTTGAGGCTAGCCTTGAACTTGAGATCCTATTGACTCAGCCCTCAAATTGCTGGGATTACAGGCCTGTGCCACCACGCCCTGTCCCTTTTATTATTATTCTTATTTTAAAAATATTTTTTAGTAATTATTTGTATGTGGTACTGAGGATTGAACCCAGTGCCTCACACATGCTAGGCAAGTGCTCTGCCACTGAGCCTCAACCCCAGCCCCTAATTTTTAATTTTGAGATAAGTCTCACTCAGTTGCTTATGGCCTTGCTAATTGCTGAGGCCCAGTCCCTGATTTTAAATATTGATACAGGACTAGCCTTCAATTTGATTTTCTCCTGCCTCAGCCTTCTGAGTAACTAAGATAATCATGTCTGATTTCAAAAAAAAGCATTATTTATATATTTTAAGAAAATTCTAAACAATCCAGAATGTTTCAGAATAGGGAATTGGCAAAATAAGTTTTGGTTTATTCATGTTATAGACTGTTTTGCCCTCAGAAAAAATTTATTAAAGCCAGGTATAGTGTTGCACACATGTAATACCAGTGGCTATGAGGCTGAGGCAGGAGAATGGCGAATTCAAAGCTAGCCTCATCACCTTAGAGAGACCCTGTCTCAAAATAAAAAATAAAAAGGGCTGGAGATGTGGCTCAGTGGTTAAGTAACCCTGGGTTTAATATCTAATTAAAAAAAATTTTATGAAAGAATACTAGCTGGGTATATTAGTACATGCCTGTAATCCAAGTTATTTGGAGACTCAGACAGGGTTTCCCAAATCATGAAATTGAGACCCGCTTGGACAATATAAAGTAATACTCCATCTCAAGTATGGGGCTGTAGCTCAGTGGCAGAGGGCTTGCCTGGTATGTGTGAGGCACTGGGTTCGATCGATCCTTAGCACCACAGGAAAATAAACAAATAAAATAAAGCCATACTGTCTATCTACAACTATGAAAAAAAAATTTAGTACCTTTATTTTATTTATATATGGTGCTGAGGTTCAAACCCAGGGCCTCACACATACTAGGCGAGTACTCTACCACTGGCGTGTTCCATATAGAAAGATGTTTTATAAGATAAATAAGAATCAGTAATTTTCCGATTAGATTTTTTTCAACTGGGCATTGAATCCCAGTTCAGTTTACTATTGAGCTGTATCCCCAGCCATTATCTATTATTATTATTATTATTATTATTTTGTTTAGAGACAGGGTCTCACTAAATTGCTTATGTCTCAAAAAGTTGCTGAGGCTGGCCTTAAATTTGCAGTCCTCCTCCTCAACATTTTTTTTTTTTTTTGGTTGTGCTGGGGCTTGACCCCAGGGCCCTGTGCATACCAACTGAGCTATCTCCCCAGCCCTGCTCCCTCAACCTTTTGAAATTCTGGAATGACAAATGTACACCACTGCACCCAGATCCAATTAGATTTTTTTTCCCATTAGATTTTTTTTTTTTTCAGAGAGAGAGAGAGAGAAATCCAATTAGATTTTTTTTCCCATTAGATTTTTTTTTTTTTTGGAGAGAGAATTTTTTTAATATTTAGTTTTTAGTTTTCGGTGGACACAACATCTTTATTTTTTTTTTATGTGGTGCTGAGGATTGAACCCAGCGCCCCACGCATGCCAGGCGAGCGTGCTACCGTTTGAGCCACATCCCCAGCCCTCCCATTAGATTTTTTAAAAATGAAATTCTCCTCAGCCGTTTACGATGGTGTGCATCTATAATCCCAGCGGCTCGGGAGGCTGAGGCAGGAGGATCTTGAGTTCAAAGCAAGCCTCAGCAATTTAGCAAGGCACTTAGCAACTCAGTGAGACCCTGTCTCTAAATAAAATACAAAATAGGGCTGGGAGTGTGGCTCAGTGGTTGAACACCCCTGGGTTCAATCCTCAGTACCAAAAAAAAAAAAAAAAATGAGGTAAGTATGTAGCTTCATGGTAGAGGACCCTTCAGTTCAATCCCCAGTACTGGAAAAAATATTCCAACTCTTTTTGAGTGTGTGTGTGTGGTGCTGGGGATTGAACCCAGGACTTTGTGCATGTGAGGCAAGCACTCTACCAACTCAGCTATATCCCAAGCCCTAGTAATGAATTCTATATCTTCACATTATGTACCTGTCATGTGTAGAGAAAAACAGACCTTTGAATTTATTGAGAGATTATATAAAACCTGGAAAGAAGGAATCAATCTTCTTTTGTTGTCTAAATTGAAAGCAAAACGAGATGAATACCAGTATATCGTGGTGTTCCACCATGTACTAGCCTTTCAGTATCTAAACAGAAATGTTTTATTCCTTTAACCTTCTCCCCATGCTGGTGTGTGTTGGTTTGTTTTCAGATTTGTAATCATATGTAATCATAGATTACATATTCACATTAGATTTCATGCTCTACAGAGCTGCATAACCGTGGGTTACAGTATACCCTACAAGGCTTGCAAAGTATGAAGTGGAATTCCTGGAATGTAACTGTGAACTATTGATATAGTATTTGGGGTGCTGTGTATTTTTAAATATACAAGCCCAAACCAAAAAAAAAAAAATTGTAGTTTTTGTTTTTGTACTGGGATTTGAACCCAGGGGTACTATGCTATTTCGCCAACCCTTTTTTTTTTTTTTAATTTTTAATTTTTTAGTTGTTAATGGACATTTATTTTATTTATTTATATGTGGTGCTGAGAATTGAACCCAGGGCCTCTCACATGCTAGGCAAGTGCTCTGCTACTGAGCCACAACCCCAGCCCATCACCAACCCTTTTTATGTATTTATTTTTATTTTGAAACTTAGTCTTGCTAAATTGCCCTGGTTGGTCTTGGATTAAATTTGTAATCCTCCTACCTTAGTCTCTCAAGTAGCTGAAATTATAGGTATGTGATTAAGTGCCTAGCAGTTAATTTCATTTCTAAAAATAGTTTTAGGGCTAGATGCAGTGCCCTGCCTCTAAACCCAGCTACTCAGAAGGCTAAGGCAGGAGAATCTGAAGTTCCAGGACAGCCTGGGCAACTCAGTGAGACCCTGTCTCAAGCTAAAAATAAAGAGTTGGGCCAGGTGGTTCGCACCTGTATTCCCAGCAACTTGGGAGGCTGAGGCAAGAGGACAAGTTCAAGGACAGTATCAGCAATTGAGCGAGGCCCTAAGAAATTTAGCAAGAATATATTTCAAAAAAGAATTTTGACAGGTGC